TTTTGCATTGAAATACAGCCTCCAGATCTGAGAACATACCCATGCTGAATTTATCCTAAGACCATATGAATCAATGCAGTTTAACACTGGTTGAAGCTAGTTAACGTGGTGTGTGATTTTGAAGGCAATTGGTTACACCTCAGCTAACTTAGGTCTGGTATTACAAGTGTGTGGACACTTATCCAAGAGAGCTATTTCAGTTTTCATTTTAATTACTTTTCTAGAAAATTCAAAAAAAAATTTCAATTGGAAGTTGTATGGCAGGATGTGTAGATAAATGTGAAAACTTTAAAATGGGGTATAGACTTTCTGTAGGTACTGTAGGTGTACGAAGATACCTTGATGAGCCACACAATCAGAGACCTCTGTGTGCAGTAGTGTTTAGTGGTTCTCATTATTTCAGAATATCAACGCTTTTCTCTGTGAGGTTTTTTGCTCAGGTAGTGAATTTCAAGCATAGACTCAACCGTGAAGCTTTCAAAGTGAATCAGGAACAAAGTAATTGAAAAGCACAAATCAGGAAAGGGGTAGGAAGAAATATTTCTCTGAGCATCCGTATTAGCACAGTCTACTCAGTCATCATGAAATAGTGTATCTGTGTGGTAGAGTAGAAAATAATCCTTTATAAAAAATAAAGCACCTGAGTGATTTTGCAAAAATATGACAAAAGGGTACTGTGGCCAGCACAGCACATCTCAAAGTCAACAGCAAATCTACTGTGTACTAGAGAGAAACCTATTCTAGCCACCTAAAAACTGAAAAATGTTGAAAAAATTTACGTTTCAGCAGAGCAATGGCCCATAAAGCATGAGGCCTGAGCTTAAGCTACACTTGAGTGGTATAAGAATAAGAAAGTAAAGTGAATGTCAAGAAGAATTGGCAAAAATTACACCAAGCTGGTGTGCAAAGTTTGTAGAGATTTACACAAACAGTGTTGTGCCTTAAATTGCTTCCAAAGATACTTCCACCATATATTGAGTTCAGAGGTCTAAAAACTCAAAGAAAATTTAATTTTTTCCTCTTTACTTTTAACTGACTTTTCTCCTTAGAACTCATCAGGTTGAACATTTTTTAAATAAAATGTTTAATAAAATATTAAAGTGCATTTGCATCATTTTGTAATTTTGCATATTGGGACACCATAATAAGGTTCTGGATACTATGGTAAAGCACTGTATATGCGGAGTGCATTCAATTTACGTCACAACTTTTTATCATATAATTTATGTTCTGTAGATTGAGTTTATGTTCTTTTAAAAAACTACAGATTAGTGAGGTGTGAAAGTTATAGTCAGCCTTGCTTGTAGACTGGTGGCTATAAGTGGGAGCTGGATCTAAAAAAAAGTTTTACTTCTGTCACAGATTATGGTGGATTTCCCTAGCTCTGGTTCTACAAACGTCAGTTCTTACAAGGAGTGTTCTGCCAGTAGTGAGCCTGGTCATAAGACAGGGGGAGAGCAGGCTGTTGTTTATAAGCTGGAAACTGCCAAAGACCTGGAAAGGAAGAAGTCCCAGGACAGTGATGTGTCAGTACGGAGGCTCCAAGACTACTTGGAGGAGGAGCCAAAGGACTTGACCCAGTACCTTCTTCCGCCAAAGACCTTGCTACGCTACTCCATGCTTCTGGACATTGTGAAACCCACCTGTAGGAGATCAGTATGCTTCACTAAGGGGTATGGCCTTTGGAGTTTTGCTGTGGTGCATTTGAAAAAAGGATGAATGCAAAACAATCTTACATTTATCAGTTTGAAATATTGAAATGTTTTCCTTTGATGTTTTTTAGCCTGTTTCTTTGAAAAATACTGTTTTTCCTAGGTTGTTTAACTTTACTTTTTTAGATCATTGTGTCCTTTTACTTAATTTTTTGCTCATTTTCTTAATGTCTGATACATTTTGACTGATTTACACTTCCCACTCCAACTAGTAAATCTGGTGTTTTCAGATATAAATGTCAGCCCATGTCAGGTGACCGGGAGACCTTAGATTCTGTGTTTGACTCTATGAAGTTGACTGCTTTTTGGATTGTAGAATGACACGGTACATTATTATTATTATTATTTTAAGCATCTAAGCTGTGGTGTTTTTATTTTTTTTTCCAGGTATGGATACTATGTAGAAGGCACTGGCTCTGTTTTACAAACATGTTTGAACACGCAGGTGCAGGCTTTTTTGTTGCAAACTAATACAATCAACTAAAACCACAACCACAAAAAAAAATTGTTATAACATTTAGAACATTAATATAACTGACTGATAAATTATATAATTATATAATAAAATAAGGAATAATGTGTTAAAAAATGTTAAAATATTGTTTTTATGATTAAGCAAGATAAAGTGCAATGA